CCTCTCAAAGACCCAGTGGGGCAGGTTTTAGACACTCCATTTTATGTAGATGAGAAACCAAGATTTAGCCCACTCCACACAGAAGCTTAACCTGGGGCTACTTCAGGCGGACTTCTTCTTTAGTAACTACTTTCTCCCAGAAGAGGATTTTACCCTAGACCATCAATTCCCAAACTGAGCACCAAGGCACTCTGGATACTATAGCAAATTCATAAGGGCAATTTAGGATATTTGAAAGTTTCAAGGGAAACCTAGTGTATTCAACATGTTGGACACGGCAGAGCCAACAAACCAGAATTCAGAGTTTCCACGTAAGATCACATTACATTCCTATCAATGACATCAGACACATCTTTGCAAAACCTGCGTTTTCAGTGGATGCTATGATACAAAGTGAGTGCTGCAGAAAAATTAATATGGAACAGGAAATGAGAGTGGTAGTATCCAACCTGATCCCAAGATTTAAGAATTAGTATAGGCACACACATCCTGCTTGTAATTGTGGTTATTTAAGAACAATAGAACAGGGTGATGGGCATGGAGGAGGGCACTTGTGGGGATGAGCACTGGGTGTTATATGGAAACCAACTTGACAATAAACTATAAAAAAAAAAAAAAGGAATGATAGAACAATATGTTTTTCTAGGGGCACCTGGGTGGCTCAGTAGGTTGACCATCTGACTTTGGCTCAGGTCATGATCTCCACGGTTCATGGGTTCAAGTCTTGTATCAGGCCCTCTGCTATCGGCACAGAGCCCACTTCAGGACCTCTGTCCTCTGTCTCTCTCTGCATCTGCCCCACTGACACACACACTCTCTCTTCTCTCTCTCTCTCAAAAATAAAAAATAAACATAAAAAAGAACCACAATTTTTCTCAGTTTATGTGTATTTTTTATTTTCTTTTAACATTTATTTATTTTTGAGAGAGACAGAGCACAAGCAGGGGAGGGGCAGAGAGAGAGGGAGATACAGAATCCAAAGCAGGCTCCAGGCTCTGAGCTGCCAGCACAGAGCCTGATGCAGGGCTTGAACTCACGGACTGCAAGATCATGACCTGAGCTGAAGTCAGACGCTTAACCAACTGAGCCACCCAGTCGCCCCATGTGTATTATTTTTAAAAAATACCTTCTATGGGGGCATCTAGGTGGCTCAGCCATTTAAGCATCTGACTCTGGATTTCATCTCACATCATGATCTCACTCACAGTTCATGAGTTCAAGCCCCATGTGAGACGCTGGACTGGCAGTGTGGAGCCTATTTGTGATTCTCTCTCTCTCCTGCTCTCTCTGCCCTCCCCTGCTGTCACTTGCAAATTAAATAAACTTAATAAAAATTGCTTCTATGTTGTTAGGACATAAATACTTAATAAACTGTTTGAACCTTAATAACTATGACTAACTACTTAAAATGAGGGGCACCATGAAAAAATTACTTAGATACTAAAGGAGCTATGAACCAAGTTTAGGAATCTTTCGCCTTAACCAAGAAGTGATAGAGTTGTGTAAGAGTCTCTGAGCTTACACCGAGCTGTGTGACCCTGAAAAAATAACTTAAGACAATGTCCATAACAAAAACACAATAACCAGGAAAGGGAGAATTTGGGTTAAAACCATTTTTAAAGGTTGCTCTCAGTCGGTTTAGTCTTTCAAATCCCACACGTTTCCTGGGATAATTTGTATTAAAAAAAAAACTTCTAAAACACATGCACACAAATTACTATTTTTCTAATTCCTAGCAACTCAAGCAAAGCTTTTAAAAATTATAGCCTCCAAGCTATGTTGGAAGAGACAGGGCCTCGCCTGCACAGACAGAACACGCCCACGGAGCCTGTGCCAGGAAAACCTGAGGAAAACCTTGAAAGTCAGATGCCCCATCCCAGTGCTTTGAGACTGTCACCTTTTTTTGTGGTTTGCATCCTACTCTCAATATCCTGCTTTTAAGTTCAATAAGAACGCTCCAGGTTATTGTGGAAATGCTTGTTTGGAAACTTCCCTTTCACAGAACTTTTTATACAGCATATGATGTGTGCAAAGGTAGGAAAGAATTAACACATAATCCAGACTAATGGTTCCTTGCAGGGAGGAGGGTGGAATGCCATGGGAGGGTTACTGCAGTGGGGTGGGGTGGGTGGGGGTGCAGAGCTTCAAGGTCCTGGGGATGCTCTAGTTCTTCAGCTGGGTGATGAGTACTTTGGGGTGTGTGGGTTCTATTCTTATTCTTGAAATTGAAAGTGTACCTTGATAGTTTGTGCAGGTGTATTTTACAGTGAGGGTAGGGTGCACCAGAATTTCTATGTGGGAGGGCCTCCGTAGTTGAAAGTTTGCCTTGTCTCTCAACTGAGCTGGGTCACTTAGCCATCAGCCTTTACTTGGAATAATGCGTAGCTGAAGGGCTCTGGAAAGGCTGACGGATTGAATTGGAAAGTTAAGGTAAATTTTTGGTAAAAACAAGGAGTTAACAGAATAACATTTCTCTCTTTTTTTAATACATATATTTTTAGGGACGTCTGGGTGCTCAGGCAGTTAAGAGTCTGACTTCAGCCAGGTCATGATCTCATGGTTGGTGAGTTCAAGCCCTGCGTCTGGTTCTCTGCTATCATCACAGAGCCCACTTCAGATCCTCTGTCCCCCCCCCCGCCCCTCCCCTGCTCATGTATGCTCGCTCTCTCTTTCAAATATAAATATTTAAAAGTATATATTTAAAGTTTTTATTTAAGTAATCTTTACCCAATGTAGGGATCGAACTCAGAACCCTGAAATCAAGAGTCGCATGCTCCACTGACTGGTCCAGCTAGGTGCCCCATCTTTATCACAGTTGCTTTACACTGTCCAACAAATGTGCAGCTAGTTGTTTTATGGTCTCTTGTTCTTCTTCACCCTCCCCAGCTCTTCCCTTCCCATTTCTGACGTAGAGGACTGAAAACTCTTCCAATTTTAACTAAGATCCCTAATTTTTAAAAAATTTTTCATTTGCTGTATGCTAAGCCCCGCTAGGGATGGCAAAAGAAGTTAAACACGTATGGTTGCACCTACTATATGCAAGAACAAAAGGCTGCTATTGCTACTTTAGGGTTGGGAAATATCCCCTCAGAGATACGTTTGTGGCACTACCGTGGACTGAGGTGTGTTTGTCTTCATTGTCAAGTTCCTTCTGCTTATATTCACCTAGTGGACGGTACTATAAATATGAATGGATATCATCATCCAACAGGTTCACAAAAAGGATCCCTAACGTTCAAGAGCACTATGCCAAGCATATTACTTGCATCATTTCATTTAATTTCCACAATACTACCCAGTTATGTATAATACACCCACTTTACAGTTTTAAAAACTAAGTTTAGGGGCACCTCAGTGGCTCAGCCAGTTAAGCGTCTGACTACAGCTCAGGTCACATCTCACAGTTTGTAGTTCAAGCTCCATGTCTGGTCTTTGCTGAGAGCCCAGAGTCTGGAGCCTGCTTCAGAGTCTGTCTCCCTCTCTCTCTGCCTCTTTCTCACTTGTGCTCTGTCTGTCTGTCTCTCTCTCAAAAATGAATAAACATTTTTAAAAAAATAATAAGTTTAGGGGCGCCTGGGTGGCTTAGTCGGTTAAGCGTCCGACTTTCGTTCAGGTCACGATCTCGCGGTTGGTGGGTTCGAGTCCCGCGTCGGGCTCTGTGCTGACTGCCAGCTCAGAGCCTGGAGCCTGTTTCAGAGTCTGTGACTCCCTCTCTCTCTGACCCTCCCCTGCTCACGCTGTCTCTCTCTCTCTCTCCTAGAAATAAATAAAACATTAAAAAAATTAAAAAAAAATAAAAATAAAAATAATAAGTTTAATAAAGTGGGTTTCCCAGGCTGCTCCAAGAGCAGTGGTGTTTACAATGAATTGATCGCAGCCTATTACAAATGTCTTTGTTCCTTCTCCACCCCCACGGATTCATTTGACAAGCCTTAAAAGAAAGAAAAAGGGAGGAAGGAAAGAAAGAAAAAAGCAAAAGGAAGAAGGAAGGAAAAAGTAAGAAGAAATGGGTTTTCTAAAAGAAAGAGAAAAAGTACAAAGAAATGGGTTTTCCACAGTCACACACCTAACAAGTGGTGGAATCAAGACACAGTCTCCTGACACCAAAGCAGATCTCAACACTCCTTGAACCATCCATCACTGTGCTGCAGGGAAGACATTCTTGACCAGCTTAATGAAATTCAAGCCCCTCTCAAGTCACAGATAATCCTCCACACTTCCCCTCCCGCTCCCCAAATCTACCGGAAGCACTACACTTTTTAAATCCCCAAGACCAGTGTCTCGGTAAACTGGTGTCCGAACTCAAACCATCGCGCTTGCTTCCTCCGCCCCGGCCCTGGGAGATGCCACCTGCTAACTCTTCGCAGAGCTTCATTCCGGCCAGGGCGACCTCGCTCCCATTCTCCCGGCTCTGCGCCTCTTTGCAGTCCTCAAAGGGGAAGGGGAGAGGGCGGGGGAGGCTGCTGGCGCGTGCGAGCCGAGCCCGGTCCCTGCGAGGCCGGCCCGGAGGCCAGGGGACCCCGGAGAGCGCAGGGCGACCTAAGGAGACCCTCCTTTACGCGCGAAGACCGCCAGCCACCACATCCGGGAGAAAAACCTGGTGACCGCCGCCCCCTACCACCACTTTCTTCAAACTCTGAGCTCACTGGAGAAAGAGGAGGGGGACAAGCAGAGACGACAAAGTTCTCCACCCCCCCCCCCAAAGTTCTCTACTCGGGGGAGGCAAGTGAAGCAAAGCGGTAAGGGAGGTGCCCTCGGGAGACCCCCCCCTCTCGTCCGGGCTTTCCGGAGGCCGCAGGAGAGGGGGCAACACGCTCCCTCCGGGTCTCCTCCCCAGGCAGACGCCGACCGGAGGGCCGGGGTGGGGGGTGGGGGGCCCAGGGAGCAGTGCCCCCACCCCCAACACCGTCCTCCCCGGCTCGGAGGTTCCCCGGCAGTGGGAGGGCGCCGGCCCGCAGATGAAGAGGGGTCTCGACGAGCCGAGCGAGGTCGCACCATACCTTCCTCGCGCGCGCCGGACGTCCGCGCAGCAGGGACCGCGGCCGGCGACAGGGTCGGGGCGAGGGGAGACGACGGCGACGAGCTCCCGCAGGCTCCGGCGGCCCCTGGGCCTCGGCGCCGCGCAGCGCCGCGCCTCCAGCCGCCCGCGCGCCCGGCTGCGCTGCCCGCTCCCGCAGGTAACCTGTGGCCGAACCCGCCGCGCCCGCAGCCGCACGGCCCTGGCCCCGCCCCTCCCGAGGCTCCTAATCTGGGGCCGCAGCGCCCCGCAGCGGCCCGCGTCCAGCACGGCGGGGACCGGGGGAGGTGGGGCCCCTAAGGCCCTGGGGCTGGCCCTGCGCTGCAGGCCCCTGCCAGCGGGGGCCGCTGTCCCATCCTTGCCCGCCAGGGAGGCCTCCTTCTGAAGAGTGGAAGGAGCGGGGGCTGCACTGGGGTGATCTTGTCTGGGTACTGGTCGCCAGGAGGCTTATTGGAGGGAGAGGAGAATTGGGGAGTTAGGGAGGAGAAAACCATTTCCCAACCCGTGGTGAAACGGATATTTTCAGTATATTCATAGTTCACTTAACTGGAAGCGCTCAGAGGAAGCTCAACAATGATGAATGATGCAGATTCATTAGAGAGCTGGAAAAGAGAAAGGAAGCCCTTCTGTCAAACAGCTTGTCTGTCAGTAGCTTATCAGACCATCCCAGAAGACACTGACAAAAGCATTGCGCATTCCTGACTCCCAGATTCAAATCACACTCTACACATCATTAACTTGGTCTGTTTTCATTTGTTTTTCAGTTACTTCTTCAGTACCTAGAAGAGTTCCCAGAACATAGTGAGCATTCGATGAAGTATTGTTGAATGAATGGAACCTCATTCAGCCTTTTGAAGAAGATGACAGGTAATTGTGGTCCAAACACAGCTGGTGGGGGAGGTGGAACCTTAGAATGGAGTCTCCCGTCTTACCTGAGGTTTCGGACAAGCTTATTTTGAACCTGATTTTTTTAAATCTGCTTTGAAAGAGGCCTGGTTTCCAGAGGTAAAGAAACATGATCATCTCTGCCTTTTTCATAAGATGTTTATTTCCTTGTCTCTTTCAGGGAGCATTAGGTAGAAGAAATCCAAACGGCTCTTACTCACACCGGGGAAGTGCTTGATTTTCCTCGACAATTTCAGAACTTCCACACCCTATAGCCATAGATGCAATTTTTCTTGGCAGGGTGTGAAACCTCTTCTGAGTGTCATTTGACCCTCTTCAGATTTGTTCCCCATCCCGGTCACTCTTCATCTAGAGCTGTTAGGAGAACACATTTCCCTTCCGTGCCTAGTAGCTCTTGATTTCTCTCCAGGGAAGTCACCAGTGAATTATAGGTCAACCCCCGAAGTCAAGATATGTATGCATGACCTTTCAACCTGATCATTTCTTTCCTATACATTTCCACATTAAAGAATTTTCCTAGTAGCTACTCCCTTGAATGAACTTCCAGAGATACAATGTAGCTTTCCTCTGGGAGGCTTTTATAATAACCCCATGAGGTCAAGATGGAGTTTTAAGTTACATTTGTGGGCAGTCAGAGCAATCAGGCATTAATTCTGCTGAAAGGAACAGAAAGCCCAAGCTGGACTATCAGACATGTGAATGCTGCTGGAAGCCAACTGGTCTGTAATTGTTTCCAGACCTTGATTAGTGGGAATTCCTGACAGAGGGGCCTCATGAGAGCCAAAGCAGACTGTGGGTGAGCTGCTTGGAGACCTTGTTTGCTCGTCTCCAAGTGAGCACACAGTCTTTGGAAAACTAATGAAAAGAGACTCCAAACCTCCCTCTATATGAGGAAGGTTCCCAGCCTACAATTCCCTTCTTGTACCTCTATTCAGTTCAATAAAAGCCAGCCTCAAATATCTACCGCGCTACTCTCTCCTTCCGCCTCGTGAGAAAGAAGTCTGTTCTGCCAATAATAATTTCCCTTGCTTTCTGAGAATATAATCTGCTCTGATATCTAGCGACAGTTCTTTAATGAGTTGACTGCACTAGCTATTTTTCATGTCATTAGCTTCAATTCATCCTTCAGCCCACCATTCCACCTGGTATCCCTGCCACTCACTCTCTGAAACTGTCCTTGCCAAGGCTTCCACCCAAGAAGCCTTCCATGTGTCTCTCCATGATCATATGCTCCTTCGCCTCTAGAGGAAACTAAATTTTGTGTTAGCTTTTATGGCTTTCCGCTCAGAGCAGGTGAAGGTGCAACTTTCTTCAGTCATCCTGAATCCAGGTTCATCTACCACCAGCCACCTCCACCAGGCCACCTAAGTTCAACCCCAACAAGATCAAAGTCATATACCTGAGGTGCATCTATGGGGAAGTCCATTCCACATCTGCCCTGGCCCCCAAAAATTGGCCCCCTGGGCTAATTTGTCTCCAGAAAAAGTTGGTAGTGACATCACAAGGCAACCAGTAATTGGAAGGGCCTAAGGATTACAGTGAAATTGACCATTCAGAACAGACAGGCACAGATTAAAATAATGTCTTCTGCCTCTGCCCTGATTATCAGCGCCCTCAAGGAAGCACGAAGAGACAGAAAGAAGCAGAAAAACATTAACCACGGTGGACATATCACTTTTGATGAGATTGTCAACATTGCCCTACAGAGGCAGCACCGACCATTAGCCAGAGAACTCTCTGGAACCATTCAAGAGATCCTGGGGACTGCCCCGTCTATGGACTGCAGTGTTGATGGCCACCATCCTCATACCATCATAGATGACATAAACAGCAGTACAGTAGAATGCCCAGCTCCTTAAGAAATGCAAAGGAAAAGATTTCAATAAAGGATCATTTGACAACCAAAACAAAATTTGTGTGTGTGTTAATAATTCTCATCACAAATATATATATCCCTAATCATTACATTGTACAGTTTTGCCTAGTTTTGAACTTTTTGTGAATGGAATCATTCTGCACTCTTCTTAGGCAACTTGCTTTTTACACTCAACATTCCGTTTCTGAGATTCAGCTGTTCAATTTCTCTGCTGTGTAGTGTTTCCTTGTAAGAAGATACCACCATTTATTTACCCAGTCCACTTTTGGACATTGGGTTGGCTCCAGATTTTGCTGTTTCAAACAGTGTTGCCATGAACACTCTTAAATATTTCTCCTGACACATGCATTTAAGAGTTTTCAGGATCTATGTAGGAGTGGAATTGTTGGGTCTTAAGGTATGTGTGTCTTCAGATTTACTAAGGAAACTGTTTTCTCTACCAATTGTACCAATTTTCATTCCCGTCAGGAATGTATTAAAGTTCCCCTTCCTCGGAGGGCCTGGGTGGCTCAGTCAGTTAAGGTTTGGGCTTCAGCTCAGGTCATGATCTCACGGTTCTTGGGTTCAAGTCCTGCGTTGGATTCTGTGCTGACAGCTCAGAGCCTGCATCCTGTTTCAGATTCTGTCTCTCTCTCTCTCTACCCCTCTCCCACTCATCCTCTGTCTGTCTCTGTCTCAAAAATAAATAAATTCTAAAAAAAATTTTTTAAGTTCCCCTTCCTCTACGTCTTTTCTTGTTTCTGGTTTGTGTGTGTGTTTGTGACATTATTTCATATGATGCTTTGTATTTCCCCAATTACCAGTAAAATTGAGCATCTTTAATATTTATTAACTGTTCTTATTTTCTCTTCTGTTAATTGGTCCTGTCTTTTGCTTTTTTTCAGGTGTTTTGTGAAATCCTTCCTGACCCTGAGGTATACAAATATTCTCCCATATTTTCTTCTAAAAAATGTAAAGTTTTGCCTTTCGTGTTTAAGTCTGTATTCCATCTGAAATTCATTTCTCCTCTCATTTGCAATGCCAAAGTGATCTTATGAGTTTCCATGTATGATTGGGTCTATTTCAGGTTCTCTGTTTTGTTCCATTTGCCTATTCCTGTAATTAGTACCACACTGCATGAAAATCTGTGGGGGGTTTTAATATAAAATCTTGATTTCTGATCGTGGAAGTCCTACCCTGATTTACTTATTTTTCATAAAGAATCTCAAGTATTCTTAGCTCTTTACTCTCCCATAGACATTTTGGGATTGCCTGTCTGGCTCCATGAAAATTTTGTTTCTTGCTTTTTAATTTTTAAAATTTATTGTAAATTTTTTTATTTTATGTATTATTTATTTTGTTTATTTTATTTTTGAGAGAGAGAGGGAGAGACTGTGAGTGGGATAGGGGCAGAGAGAGAGGGAGACACAGAACCTGAAGCAGGCTGTCAGCTCAGAGCCCGAAGTGGGACTCAAACCCACAAACCACAAGATCATGACCTGAGCCAAAGTTGGATACTTAACCAACTAAGCCACCCAGGTGCCCCTAATTTTTTAAACTTTTTAAAGTAAACTCTACACCACACACAGGGATCAGACTCACAGCATAGAGATCAAGAGTTTCATGCTCTACTGAGCCAGCCAGGCACCCCTCCATGAAAACTTTGTGATCTTGATTTGAAATCACAGGAACGTATGTGGTGGGTGGCATTTTTTATTCACAATTATTTGTTATGTTCCTACCTATGCCATACTTTCCTATAGTGATGTAGACTTCTGTATCCCACTGGTTTGGAGCTTGTGTGACTTGCTTTGACCAACACCATGTTGAAACAGCTTTAAATATGTCATGGGCTTTAGTGCTTCTCCTTCCCTGCTTCTTTCACCTTGAGCTTTTGCCCCATTTTAGGAGAATATCATGCCACAAAGAGTGGCTACCTTTTTAGCTGGGATCTCACTATGAGAAAATGCATGGAATTACATAGAGCCCAGTGTGGCCACAGGTAGTCTGCAGCCCTTGCGTAACGGGAACAAGAAATAAATTGTTTGCTGCTACTGCAATTTGGAGAGAATTAACATCTTTACACTGTTGAGCCTTCCTATCTATGAACATGTGTGACATGTATGTCTATTTGCATAGAATTTTAGTAACTGCAGGGGTACCTGGGTTGCTCAGCCGGTTAAGCGTCTGATTTTGACTCAGGTCATGATCTCACAGTGTGTGAGTCTGATCCCTGCATCGGGCTCTCTGCTGACAGCTCAGAGCCTGAAGCCTGGTTCAGATTCTGTTTCTCCCTCTCTCTCTGCCCTTCGCCTACTCATGCTCTGTCTCTCTTGCTCTCAAAAATAA